GCGATGGTTAAGAACTGGCTTGGGACGCCAGAGGGCCCCGGTTCGGATCCCACATATGAGGGCCAGTGACGCTGCACCCTCTACAGCTAAGATGCTGAACAACAGCTCAACCTGGAGCTGGGCTGCCCTGAGTCGCCGGCGATGGCGTAGGCTGCAACCCCTGGTGCAGTGGGCTGCCATGAGCTACCGTGTGTGGCTGGCAGCCAGCGTGAGCGGCCGGCAGCCAGTGTGAGCTGCCAAGAGCCGCTGTGAGTGGCCGTCCAGTGGCCGGCGACCGATCTGCCTCACCTGGGAAGAGCGCAATGATAATACCAACATGGGCCAGTGAAGCAACGTCCTCCATAACTAGACTGAGAACAAAAGGACAGCAGCTTGTCTGTTCCCCTTCCCCCGATCCCCCAGCACTGTTCCCCTCCCCCAATTCCCCAATAAAATCTTTAAAAAAAAAAATTCATTTTATTTCACAATTCTGGGATATGTTTTCTTCTTATATATCCCATGCAAAGTAAGTATAAACTGGCACATTTGTGAGAGGGCAATTTTGAAATATCTAGCAAATTTGTAAGTGTGCATATCCTTTACGCAGCAACTCTGCTCCCAGAAATCATATATTATTACACAAAAACAAGTGTACCATAATGGTCATTGCTGCATTATTTACAACCACCACAACCAAAAAACAAAACAAAACAAAAAGCTGGATACATCTATTCTATGGAATATTATATAGCTCTTCAAAAGAACGAGGTATATGTCATATGGAAATAATATACATTACAAAATGAAAGAAGTTGCAATAATATTATGTATGATTCCAGTTTTTAAAGCAATCACATGTATGCTTGCTTATACATGCAGAGAAAACATTTAGAAAGATATACAAGAAACTGTCAAAATTGTTACCTCTTTGGAGTGGGGCTCAGAAGGGCTATGAGATAGTTTTAGTATTTATTTAAACAATGAGCATCTATTACTTTATAATAAACCATGCTTAAAGTTCTTTACTCCCCATAAGGGGTATCTGTGGCCCAAATTTAGTAAGTCTCAGGCTAATTCATGTCCTGAATTCTTACCCCTCTGACTTAAAGCTTCCAAATTCAACAGAATCCAATCGATACAGGCTAGTTGGTAATCCATCTGACAAACTAACCTAAATTTAAACTACAAAACAGTAAAGCAGTCTAAAATCTAAAGCTGTTCACAATGGTTATCTCCTTTATCTCACATCCATATTCCTCAATTCTGCATTTTCCAAAAGGCAGGTTAGAGAAAACATAGACATGGAAGCATTCTTACATGTTCTATAACACCTGCTTGTCCATTGCTATAGTCTCGATACTGTCCAAGCATCTGGTCTACTTGTCGCAGGTTCCGGCTGGTGTCCTTGAGAAAGAAAATGGCCTTTGGTAATTGTTCCAAACAATGTTTTTCCCAGCCAATCTTAGTAGTATGTCAAAAGCTAAGTCAACTGTTTGTAAACGTACAATTTATATGATAGTTAAGTCAGAGATTAACATACTTCACAAACATCAAATAAATCTTATTAACATCACTGAGAGAGAAACTCAAACCTGTCTGCAACTGACTTGTGTGAAATCTGAAGCACAAAATTTAAATCCTTATCCAAGGTTCTATAATCAGTTGGCAACAAAATAAACTGAAAACATCTCCGTTATCAATTTGTGCACCTCAGCTAATTCACATTCCCTTTCTGAAAAAGAATCCTGAAAGACCAAATTTGGTAGACTGTCAACAGGCATGCCGAGTGGCGCGATGGGTAAGAGCTGGCTTGGGACGCCAGAGGGCCCTGGTTCGGATCCCATATATGAGGGCCAGTGGCACTGCCCTCCACAGCTAAGATGCTGAACAACAGCTCAACCTGGAGCTGGGCTGACGTGAGTCACCAGCAACAGCATAGGCTGCAGTCCCTGTGGCAGTGGGTTGCCATGGGCTACTGTGTGTAGCCAGCAGCCAGCGTGAGCGGCCGTCCAGAAGCTGGCGACTGATCTGCCTCACCCGGGAAGAGCACATTGATGGTGCCAACTTGGGCCAGTGAAGCAACGTCCTCCACAGCTAGACTGAAGAACAAAAGGACAGCAACTTGTCTGTTCCCCTTTCCCCAATTCTCCAGTGCTGTTCTCATCCAATTCCCCAATAAAAATCTTAAAAAAAAAAAAAAATCTGGTAGACTGTCTACAAGAGAAGCAAATCATTAGGATCCATGTTTTTCAATTACTACTTTACTTCAGAACTTCATTAGGAGAAAAGAAAAATAAGTATCCTTTAACTTTTAGCTATAAACAACAAACTTAGTTTTAATCATAACAAAAATGGTTTCCACCTAAACATGCCAGGTTTCACCTGAGAGATTAATGGAGGCATTTCTTTCAGAAATATATACTTAATAATGTGTCTCATTGGTGGGAAAGTACAAGGTTTTGTACTCCAAATAGCTATTGTTAGTTTAAATAAAAAGAAAAAATAAATCAAATTATGGCCTCTCCACCAGAAATTAGCCTCTTCTTATCTAAGTATACTAACCCAAAGCAACGCCGATTGGCTCAGGTGGTTAGACCACAGGGTGTAGTGCTCATAACACCAAGGTTGCCAGTTCAATCCCCACATGGGTCACTGAGGTGCGCCCTCCAGACTGAAACAACTACTTGACTTACAGCTGATGGTTCCTGGAAAAATACATTGTTCTCCAATAAAATTTTTTTAAAAAAAGCTATGCTTACCCAGGCAAAACAAAAGTAAGGGATTAATGGGTAGGAAAAACTTCTTTTTTCACTTTTCTTATTCCCAGTGTGACTGTACTACCCTTCCCCTGCCTCTTTCCCCAAGGCCCTTCTATGGAAAGGATGAAAACTATCTCCACTCAGACTTGCAAATACTGTCAATTATTAGCCTCTTAATCAACATGGCATCTCGATACTATTCATCCATAAATAATCTACCAAGCCAAACTATGAGCAACTTCTCTAAAGGCACATATCTACAAGAAGCTAAAAGATGGTAATCCCTACTGGTTTCACTCCTACGCTATTTTATTAGGAAATACTACCTTATCCTAAAACACTTACCACAACCTCTCATATATTTCAAGTAGAATAACGGCCCCCAAAGATGTTCAAGCCCTAACACCTGACAAAAGGGGTTTTGCAGATATGATTAAACTAAGGATCTTGAGATAGAGGATTATCCTGGGTTATTGAGTCCACTCAATGTAATCACAAGCATCCTTAAAAGTGGAAGAGGGAAGCAGAAGAGGTAGTCAGAATGATGCAATATAAGAAGGATTCAACCCGTCCTTGCTGGCTTTCAAGATGATGGGGCCACAAGGCAAGAAATGTGTGCAGCCTATAGAAGCTGGAAAAAGCAAGGGAATAGATCATTTCACTAGGGCCCCCAGCAAGGAATGCAGCCCTACCAACACCCTAATTTTTGTCCAGTGAGATCAGTATCAGATTCTGACCTACAGAACTGTAATAAGTTTCCGTTATTTAAGACATCAGTCTTGTGGTAATTTGTTATGGCAGCAAAAAAAACTAATACACTGACTGAAACCATTGTTCAGCTTAAACTATTTAACCATTGTTACACTAACCTGTAAAGTACTTGTTATAGCGTTGACCTTCTCGGTGGCATCTACTGTAGGACGATTTCGAATTTCCCTGTGTATTGACCTGGCAGCCCATCGACTCAATCTGTCACGAGAGCGGAAGTGGTCTGAGTCACTGGAGGATTCTGCCATTGGTGTTCACAAGTCCTTAAACATAAATCCAGGTAATGGTCAATCAAATGGTAAAGAGCACAGGAATAAGAGATTAATTCAGCTATTTATTTTTTTGAAGTATTTATTACATTAGTCCTTTGGAATACTGTAATTTCTACACACATAGTTTGAGAACATAAGTCACTTCCCCATGTAATCATATCCTTCCTTTATAAAGTTTTTTTCTGCTTTAAGAGAGCAATTCCTCAAATATTATTTTAGTCATGTTCACAACTCCAAATAATAAATAACCCTTAGTTTTGTGCAATGCTCCTAAATTTTAAAAGCACTTTCACATATAGTACTTCACTTAATCCTACCAACAAGCGAATGGGACACACAGATCGGTATCTCTACAATGAAAAACACACAGAGATTCTCTGGGACCTGCAGGTCTCAATATTAATCTGATTTCCAGTCTACTGAGATGTAAGCACATCTGTAACTTTCAACAAAAATACAGCACACACAGAATGCCCTAAAATAAGAAAATCCCATTGAGTGTACAGTGAGGACTCTCATGCAACTTAATTTAAAATGTAGAATTAAACAAATGCTATAACAGAAGTACAAATTCTATAACAAATACATGAGCAGATGGTGGCATTATCAACATCTCCACCAAATTAGAAGGCCAAACATCCTGAGTATAATTTCATCCATAAAAAGTGCTCTAAATATGCTTTTTCCCATCATTACCTCAATTTTCTATTTAATGCAAACAAAAATTATTTCATGCAAAACAATCTCAAAAGTTTCAGAAAACCTTTTATAGAAGTTGAAGAAACGAAATGTATTTGGGACAAAAAAGTATCAGAGAAAACGCAATTGATCAAATGTGAAAGTTTACTGAGTATTCCAATAACTCTATTTTCTGTTTAATGGAGGGTTAATTTAACTTAACCTTTAACATTAAATATTATAATCTTCCTAAAATCTACATGGCTATTTTTTCTGGCTTATTAAATCCAGTATGATGACATTTTCTTTAATGATTTAGAATATTCTGGACTTTTTTGATCAGCAGTATTCTGAATGCATGTGGGAAGTGCATTACCATGCATCCAAAGGGAAGATAAAGGGAATCTGCTAAATATGTACAGAGCCTATAGCATTACATGAAAGCAGTCATGTTTTTAAAATATTCATTAAAATAAAACTAAATAAACAAGCAAAGACCCTTACTATGAGTTTAGGTTTTTCAAAGTGAAATACAGCATCAGAAAAAGAATCAATGGAATGTCCAACTTCTTCATACACATTGACAAAGAGCCTCGCAGCTTCCTCCCACACCTACATTCTCTGTTCTTGCCTCCCTTCAGTCTATAAGTACAAAGATAGAGTGCCCATGATGTAGCTCCCTCCCACATCAGAAAACATAAACGAGAAACTAAGGCTGAAGCAACTGTTTGGCTTTACTTTTCCAGGATCCTAAAGAATAGAGTTAAAAAGAAAGAGACCAGGCCGGCCGAGTGGCCCAGTCTCTTAACCAACGGCCAGCGCGTTGGTTAAGAGATGGCTTGTGACGCCAGAGGGCCCCGGTTNAAAATTCAGATAAGTCACATGATAGTTGGCACACTACATTTACTCATTTTTAGGGATGATATATCCCATAGCCGTAAACATTTTAATGCTAAGAAAGCCATTTTCATTGAGGAGCCCATCAGCATCACCTGTAAGAAATACTCTTTCTGAGCTGCACGTCTTCCCCTAGATTACGGCAGATGCTCCCCCCGGGTAACTTACAGGTGGCAGGGTGAAGATCATTGCTCTATCAAGTGACTGTAACATAAGGCAATGAGTGACATAGTCATCCGGGATGCTGGAGGGAAAAATCATTGAGAACCAACTACTTTAACACAACAAGAATTTGGGGAAACTAAGGAGGGGACACTAGACCAGACGAAGGAAAGCCTAAAGCAAAACAAAAAGACTCTTGTTCTCCTATGTCCTATTTTTCATATGAGTGGCTTTGCATTCTATGTACATACACTTACATGGAAATGAAGTATCTGTTGAATTTATTTCCTTCCCATGTATAAAACCAGTCTCACAGAGTTCAGCATTATTAACCCAAGGTCTACCACAAAGGCTTACTGCCACAGTACAACACGTTTTTTGTTTTAAATTCTTACCTGTACAGAAGTTTCTCTAATACAAAATTTCATTTCCCAATGGCACAATTCAAAGGAAATTTGTTACCATAAGTAAGAATCTAATATTCAACATGACGAAGTAGGACTGTTCTTTGCTATTAATGTTTTTAATTTTTCACTAATAAATTAAAAAGTATTAACTCCCATTATTAAAAAGGTAGTTAAATCTACAGCATTTCAGAGCTTCCCAAATATACAAAATTTATAGCTCCATCTGTCAAACACATCATAAGTCATAAAAACCTTGTAGATATAAGAAAGTCCAAGTTTATTTTCTAAACGATAGTAGAAAACCTTATGAGAGAAGATATGTTTTCCTGTGCACAATTGGCTTCCAATTACAAACAAATAATGATGATTGTACTTCTACTTTGTAAAAACAAAATAACAAATCATCAATTACAACTTGGAAGTTATGTGACAATTCAGGATAGCAGATATATATAAAACAATCAGAGTACAAATATAATATTAGTCTTCTTATTAGAGTACATACTCATAATTGGAAACAATAAATTTAGTTGGGTTTTTAAGAGTTTACAGATAAATTAATGATTTTCAAAAGAAGGAAATAACAGAGATAGAATTAGTAAAATATTAATAAAAAATATTCGGGCCGGGGCCGGCCGAGTGGCGCGATGGTTAAGAACTGGCTTGGGACGCCAGAGGGCCCCGGTTCGGATCCCACATATGAGGGCCAGTGAC